GGGGGGGGGGGGGGGGGGGGAGCAAGCTAATTAGGGGAGAATCCTCGCCCAGAACAGCCCTTTTTTTCTCTTTTTGCTTCTAGGAGAGCCACAATACGTGCAAGAGGAGGCAGGACTGGACAGAGAATGGTCAGGAGACCTTTAGAACCTCCAAAGGAACTTGCAAAGTGGAAAGTGTGAGGGCAGCGCTGCCACGTCCTGACTCTTGCTTTCTACCTTTAGCTCTTTTGGTTTGGGACCGGGCACTTAGGAGTGGGCAGGCGGCTTGGATACAGTGTCTTAAGAGTGCAGGGGTGGGGTGGAGGGAGAGCTGCAACTCACCTGTTTAGTTTGGAAACAAGACTCAAAGGGGCTTGCTTTAAACGTTTCCCTTGACTTAAAAGGCCAACTCTTGAGTTAATCCCACTGTTTATTGATTTATGGGCCCAAGGAAACCAAATCTTTTAATAACTCAATTATCAGATAAACGTAGCAGGCCTGGCTAACGAAAGCAAGGGGGCGGGGGTCGTACAGGAAAGGAGAAGTGAGGGAGGGAGAGGGGGCAGTGGGTTCTCTCCACGTTGCGTGGAGGCGGGGTGCGGGGGAGAGATGCTAAGCGCTCTGCTCAGCCCGGGCGCCAAAGGAACGCCCGGAGGAGGGCGAAGGGCGACGAAGGAGCCTGCGTAGCCCAGTAAGACAATTCCTACCCCATCACCCGCCTTTGGGAGCCTGAGGGTGGAGAGATTTCGTACCAGCAAAGGCGGGGAAAGCTTTCGATCCCCTGGATATTTCTAGGCCACTCGCCCTCGGGAAGCAGGCGCCCGGGGCGGCCGCTGGCAGCAAGGGGCTCGGGCAGCGCTGAGACCCCTCCCGCCTGCAGCCCGCGGGGCGCCGCCCCATTACCTACTGGAGCACCGGGCTTTCTCGGTCGCCTTAGCCCTTAGGGTGAGACCGAGAGCGGGAAGGGCCCGCGCGGCCCGCGGCCCCTCCAGCGGCTGATTCTATGTCCTCAACACGACTGGGCGCGAGTGGCCCCCACGCTCTCGGGACCTGCACAGTAAGAGCAAGGCGCGTCCATCGCGTCTCTCGCACGTCACACGCGTGGGGCGCGTTGCCCTGCAAGGAAAGGAGACGATGGTTTTCAGTGCGGTTTCTCCCGGCCTTTGGCAATCAGAATACGTCTAATGCAAGCGGCCAGGCCCTCGGACAAAGGCGCAGGCTTCTGAACTGGGAAGAGATGGAGTGTCTACACGCTCCCTGAGGTCTAGTTCCTGGCCTTTGCACTCCTATCAACTCATCTATGGCTGAGCCCTGCACACCCAGAGGCCCCCAAAGAAGCTGACGTGGATGGGCTGGGGTCTGACATCAGCCATTGCTTGGGCGCTCCTGGTGGTCTGAAACCAGGTCCCTAACTCAGCACCCCCCCATAAAAATGTCAGTGCAAAACTCAGCAGGTTCCTAAATCTGACCCTCTAACCTCCCTCCTCCCCAGGCCAAGGCCCATGGGGCAGCAGACCTGAGAGTCCCCGTGGGTCCTAACTGTAAATTCTGCAGAACAATCCTCTGGATCTTTATATTCAAGGGATGCTGCAAAGGTCCTAATGCCTACTTTGTTTAAAGAGATGCGTTCATGCACACTCTATTTAGAGACCTAGGTCATCCACTCCTTCGCCCCTGGGGATTTCCCACTGCTTTGGGGACGGTGGGAACAATGGGTTTCAGATCTTATTTCAAGATAATGCTCAGGTGAAGCCCAAGAAAGGAGCAGGGCTGCCAGAAGTGAGAGATATTAAATGTATGAAACTTTATCCACTGGGAATAGTCCCAGTGTATCCAGACAGTAACATTCAAAGCTGAAATACAGCTCCTTTCACTTTGCATTATTTTACCATTATTGCCAAAAACAAGTGCACGTCTGGGAGGGGAAAAAACGCCTCATTCATAAAGCATCTTGTAAGAAAGCAATTGTTGCTGAAACATGGGAGCTTGCACCCCCCCCCTCCCCGCGACCACTCGACCACTAGCAAAGCTGATGCTTTCCCCACAATCACCAAAGAGCCCAAGGAAATGGAATCCGCTTTAAAGGCAAGGCAAGGCAATAATGTTAAAATATTGGGCTCCAAGAACACTTACTCCTCTCCCCTAAAATTCATTTAGCAGCTCCCCACTTCCCCGGAATTCTGTGTTGAGGTATCTGTTAGCAACTAGACTCAAAGCTGCTTCAATCTCTTATTGGCCACTTTCTAAGTTATTCCCTTTGAGCTTCTTTAAAGAAGTGCACCTGCAGAACTCTGACACACAGGCTGTGATTGAAAAGGGATCGGAATTTTTTTGTTTCTCTGTACCTTATAGATTGTGTAGGAAGCCCAAGTCCTCTTTGAAGAAGCTCATAAACCATGCGGGCAAAGCTTTGGAAAACAGAAGAGAATGAAATGGTACATACCCCTCCGAAGGAATTACATACTAATCAACGTATTCATATTGTGTTTGGGTTTTACTATTGTTCTTAAAATTGGTAGATGACACATATGATAACAAATGCAAGATGCTCTGTAGGCAGATGCTGGCAAGGCTGGGAACTAGTAACGTTTCGGAAAAGAACTGATGAGGAGTCTGAATCAACTTATTGGTCCGGATTTTCCTCGGCCGGGACGCGGGAGCCTCTCCTCGGCCAGCCGGCCCGAGAGCTGCAGCCACAGCCTGCGTCCCCGCGGGCCTCCCGCCCCGCCCGCCCTCGCCCTCCCTAATTAAGCAAACGGCCCGGAGCTGGGCCCCCTTGAGTTAAGGACACAGGGCGGGGCGGGGGCGGGGTCACCGAGGGGACCACAACAGCGCACCAGAGAGCTAACCACACGCCTTTTCATCCCAGAAGATTCCCGTGACAGCCGGAGGGAGGGAGGGCGGGCAACGTAGAAAAAAGGGTGGCTGGGAGAGGGGCGAGGTGAGGTGGAAGGGCGGGGACTGCCAGAGAGTTTCCTAAAAATATATTAAAAATTTAAAAAGTTCGTGCGTCTCAGTCAACCAGCTCTCAAAGCACTGACACCGACACGGTTTCTCCGATTTTCTTCCAATAAGAGTTTTCTCACGTTTAGTCTTATGTTTATTTTCCAAAGGGAAAAAAAATCATGGTTTTCTTTTTATTATCAGTATTACTAAGCTCGAAAGAACCGAAGTGGAAAATCCGGACGGTTGTCTCCAAGTGTATCTTGAAATAGACACTGAGAACCGATACTGTTGCTCCGTGGTACGCCTCAAGTTTTTTTTAAGTTATTTAGCTTTGTTTTTTTTTTTAACTTTGATTGTATGTGTATTCTACCTAATATAATTCTTCCAAAGCCAATCCAATATTTTTAGAGCTAAAATTAAATTTTTTTCTGTTTTCCTTTTGTATTTAAAACATTTTTTTCTTTTTTTTTTTTTTAATTTTTCATTTCCTGTGTTTCTCCTCCTTGTCGCCAGTTTTACTACCTGGGCCTTCCCCAGACGTGTGCCTGTTAGTGGTGGTGTTGTTCAAGAACATCTTGTCCATGCCTTTGAGCGCCTCGGTGAGATAGTTCTGCAGGGCCGTGAGCGCGGCGCAAATGGCGGGGGCGCCGAAGCCGTGCGTGATGAGGCTGAAGTGCGTGAGGCAGCTCTGGATCCCCGGCTCCAGGATGGGGCTGGGCCTGCTGTTTCCGATCGGCGTCCGGTCCTGAGCCAGCAGATCCGTAAATTCTTTACAAAGTTGCCTGCAAAGGGGCGGGAGAGGAACAACAACAATAAGAAAGCAAAACAACAACAACAACAAAAAACACCCTCAGTGTCGTTGTCATTGACATTCTAAAGGAGACGCTCACAAGAGCCCAGGGGCGCCCAGTCACGGGAGAGCCGGAGAGCGAGGCTAATGTGGGCGATTCCGCTCTGTTTCCTTTCGCAGCGTTCTCCCTTCTAGAGCAGCTGGGACTGGAAGGAAAGCGGGGGTGGGGATTTTAGGCACCCCTTCCATCCCAAAGCCTGGCCTCTCCCCCCACCCCCTGCCCATCTTTCCCCCTTCATTCCAGGACTGCATAAACCCCGCTTTGGGAAATGTGCTAGGCTTTAGCGTTTGATTTGCAATCTTCAGTAACTTTTAGCTCTTACCTGACAGTTCCTCTAAAAGCCCTTTCCCCCTTCTCTCCCCTGCCTCTCCAACCTCTTGGTGATCAGACTCAAAAAGCCGGGAAGGAGTTAGGGCCCTGGGCCACAAGCCTGTCCCTGGCACAGAAGCAGATTGCTGGAGCCTTGCGTGGCCCAGGGCAAGCAACTGTTTATTCCAGGAGAGAATGCCGATTCCATTCAAAGCAAAAAGCTGTTTACCTGCAGCATTTGAGAAGGGAAGTATTCCCACCACCACCACCCCTTTTCCCCTTTCTTTTAAAGTACAGACTACCAAAGATCTTTGTACAACAATGTTGTTGTCCATATAAAAGGATTCCCACATTGTTTAAATAAAACCTAAAGGTAGATGGTTAAGACTCCAGGGAGGGTAGATTTTTATTGTTGAAGGTTTTTATTTCAAGGCACTGACAATTTCGAGGAATCTCCCAGCCTTAGAAATCCTGCGTGCCTAACTATGGACTAAACTTATTTGAGAAATTTTTAATATAGGAGGTGGACAAAAGGATTTTAGCCCTGAAGGTCCAGTGGCTTGGTTCACCTTGTGGTCAGAGGTATGGCATCCCAAAGGTCATAGCCTTTCACAGGCTGGCAGACTCCTGCCAGCCTGCCTCCACCTGGTCTCCAGGGTGGTGAGAAAAGAAAAACTACAGAACGCCAATCACAGGCCTCCCTGGGATAGTCTGACACTTGGTGACACCTGGCCTGGCCAACAGGTGAATAGGGCAGATACCTGGAGGCCCATGTCAGTGACCCTGGGGCACCTTTTCCCAGGGGATTACTCCCAGGAGGAGAAATGGCCAAATTAGATGGGGAATACCTCCTCCCCAACCTGCCTCAGCCAGAAAAGGTGTTTGGTTTTAAGGCTGATGGGTAGAGGACACTACCAGGAATCCTCTCACTACTCGTTTCTCTGTTCGAAATGCATGCATACATCCTCCCAACCAGGAAGAAACAGGTAACAGTTCTGACCTAAATAGGGCAGTTCTTAAGTCAGACATACCTCAGGATCATCTGTGGGGTTCAAATACACACATCCAGGCCTCCACCCTCACTGATTCCCACTCAGGGAGCCTGGGGCTAGGTCCACAAATAATTATCTTGAAAATGCTCCCCAGCTGATTCTGATACTCCCCCCAGGTTAAGAAGTGCTGGCCTTAAGAGAAGCCACAAGCACTCCTTAGGGAAACCACAGAGTTGTTTGTGGAATCCTGTCATCTAATTTAGCCACTTTAGTTTTATTTTTTCCCCAAAGTACCTTTACTCTTTTATAAAGCACCAACAGTTCCCCTGCCACTAGCCACCAGGGCAAGGGGTAAGAGAGCAATTTACTGACAAAGATCTATTATATTGCTAGTTGGTACATCAGAGGAAAGCCTTCTAAAAAGACGGTGGGTGCCAGGTTTTGATCGTTGGAAGAGATGGTTAAAGGCTTTCCTGAAGTTTGTACTCATTACCAAAGTGCCAAAAAGGAAATGCTGAACTGAGGAGAACAAATGCTTAGAGTCAAACATTTTAAATCTTCAAAGCCCAAACCAGGGTCTGTAAGCAATTAAAGTTCTGGGACATTAATATTTTTTGACCCTGCGGAAAGGGGCAATCAAATTCCAATCACGTCTCAAAAACATCTGGACAAATTTGAGCAAATGATTTTTCAGCCTTCCATATATTTCTTTAAATTACGCTGTCAACGGAACAAACCGCGTCCTCCAGCACTAAATAAATGAGCGCCGCTGTTTGGGCCGCGCCTGCGAGAGAAACGTGCGGGCGCACGCAGCGCCGCCCACTGCAGGCCTGAGCCGGCCATAAAACACCAGCAATATGACATCGAAGCCAAAGACAGGAGTAAATCAAATAAATAGAAAACCCACTGTAAAAGTTCAAATGAGCTCTAGACCTAAATTTAGCCAGAGATTTACTATTTTCCCCTCTGGAGTTGTAGTAAATTTTACGTCTGTGGAAGATGCCAAACAGCAACGTTGGAAAGAGAGTAATTAGAGCTGCGGGTAGAGATGGGTGAACGTGGGTGACATATAGACACCCTGAGCGAGCACGCGTGGCTGTGTGGATAAGACAGGGAGATGTGGACCCCACGGAGAAATATGCATCCAGGGATGCAGGAAAGAACTGGAACAGGGACCCAACCGGAAAAGGTCTGCCTGCCATCCCCAGGGTTGGGGATGTGAATTGTAAAAAGCCTGGATTCGGATTAATAAAGCCATCCCTCTCAGAAACTAAGAAATAGAGAAAACACACAAATACGAAGCCCATAATCAACGCTGAGGGGTGGGTGCGGAGGGGGGCGGAGATGGGAGGGTTCCCTAGCCAGCCATCCACGGGCTTTCCACCACTGAGCTTCTTCCCTGCCCCGCCGAGGAAGTCTGCGCTGCCGCTCCCACCGCCTCCTCCCAAGCGAGGCGGCTCCGCAGGTTGGGAGTCTGGGATGAGGACCACGAGTCCAGGACACTCACTTGGTGGCCAGCAGCATATTCTTCCGGGAGTGCAGGTCACTGGGGTCCGTGTGCTGCCGGTTCAAATACTCAGAAACGGCTTTGGCGGGAAACTCCGTTTCGCAAATGTACCCAAAATCCCGAGCTAAGTGAACAGCCTCTCCTGAAAAGACAACCGCAGAGGAAATAATCAGCACCCAGTCCCTGACCATCCCAAGGGCAGGAGGCGTTCCCTGGTCAATTCTGTTATTATTTACAAAAGAGGCCAACTGTTAAGGGTTAATAGCAAAGATGAGACAGATGCCCAAACTAAACATGGTTCTCAGACCGTAATTGACGTTGATGGAACAAACTTTGTTCCTGATGCTCTTTCCAGCCTCTCCCTGATCATCCTTCCAGCCAAGTCCTAGCTAGACATCCCCTGAACAGCTTCAGGTCTCCCACACCCCATGCTTTGTCTTAAGGGAAAGGTGGGCAGGCATTCAGGAACCACCATACAATTGCACCTAGACAGACGGTGAGCTGGATAGTCAAGCCAGATTCCCCCTTTCTTTTTTAAAGCATCTGTTACACCTGCTTTAAATAAAATTTAAAAGTCTTCCTATCTTTTGTATCTTCCTGTAATAACTAACATATACAAATATAGACCCCTGTGTGTCTATGTCCACATATATTAAAGAATATGTAAATCGTATATGGATCCGTTTCTATCCAGCAATGAAATATTTAATCTCCTTGTCAGTTTCCTGCCAGTTAGGTTTCAGGTTTCTCCTCTTCAGAGGTTCCTGCCATCATTCTCTTACTTAAGGACTTCCTACTGCACAAAGGTGACACAGCAGCTATAGAAAACCTGGACAGCTGGAAGATTCCTTAACTTATGTGGAAGCCCCTTTCGAATAAAGCATTATTGCCCTTTAAAGCACAGCCTTCGGGGTTCAAGGGAAGATCCCGACATGAAAAAGAGATATGTTTAATTATCCCATAGCTACGTTATTTTAAGGAGCATGACTTACTTTTAATCATCATTAGCATAGTAACCAAAGACTTCAGGTACAGTGCTTACAACAACTCATAACACTGAAAACTGCCAAATGAATATTGGCATTTCAGTGCGTTTTCCAGTTTCCTTCCTTTTCCACCTAAATCCGTCTTGGGCTGAAATTACTTTGACTGCTTTTCAAAATGAAGATTGTGATATTAGCAATGCCTTAAAGGGCAAAAAGTAAAACCCCCAGGCTAAGAGTCAACCACTAATAAATGTGGTCTAGAAATTTAGTGACCGCTGTCCCTGGGGGTAAGTTTGGGCCAGGCAACTTTGCCTTAAAGATAGCAAAGTGCAATGCCTGTAAATGTGATGACTTTATGGTTGCTGCCTAAATATTCTAAGATCCCCTCCTCTAAAAACTAACTCCCCACAGGAGTGTCATAATATCACATCCATAAAAATAGAAGAAAAAACCAAGACCTACATGTTAGACTCTAGAGAAAATTCTACAACTTCCTCCATTAGGTCCATCTGGCTCTATTTCCTATCCCTTCCACATCCCACAGATTCAAATGCAGATCCTCTTGTTCTAGACTGTGGAGAAGATCCTGTTTATTACATACCATAAATATCATCCGCAATCCCAAAACGGTGAGCAAATTAGAGTGTGCTTGTTATAAGTATGGGCCTTTAAATTCACAGCTGAAGATCATACACGACTCCCCTCCATGTTTCCTCACTCCCCACCCCATATTTTTCCTAGGTCACTGGTCTTATAAAGCTGTATTTCAATAACAATAAGTCCCAGGTAATCAGCAGGAGATAGGGGCCCTGAGAGTGACACGAGTTTTAAAATAACCATTAGAGGTCATGAATGCAATAATAGTTTCATGAATCGACTGTGTTTTCTACTACTGACGACTCAGAGGTAAAATCTGGGAAGGAGAAGGGGTATAGAATGCATTGCTTCTTACAGAGTTACTCTTGCAGGAGTTCATACAGAGGGTGTTTCAGGCACCATGTCCTGCACCTGGCTGCAGAGACGACCCCTACACTGGCTTGGAGACTAGACCTGAGCACTCTCCAGAGCTCAGGGACCCTTGCATTGTCCCTTGGCCTCTGGACAATTGCCGCTCCCTCTAAGTAAAAGGACCTCTGAACTTCTCTCAAGCAATCGCTTGACATCCAACTCAAAAGGGCACAACAATTGCAATGATTTCCAGTTAATCATAAAACATGTAAAATGTCAGCCTTCAGCCGACAGTTAAGCTCCACCACTTCGTGAAATGGCCAAACGTCTTGCTTACCTTCCACCAGGGAGGTGAGTAACGTGACATTTGCTGCCTTGCGCCTGCCCGCGGGTAAATTCAAACCGATTTTTTCTAGCCTTTCTCGCAAAGATCTCCCCCCATTTTTCGATTTGGCTCTGAAATTGCAAGAATTAACATTCTGATTAACCTCAGAGTGTTCCTGAAACAAAGTTTAGACTTAGCAATCTAAAACCCAGTGGAGCTTGAAGAGGTTTTAACTTGAGGTTTAGCACTTTTTTTTTTCCTCCTTTTGGTTATTTGCTGATAGTTTGCTGAGGTTTGCTTAATTTCTGCAATACAGAGCATTAAAAAAAATTGAGTCGTTTACTTTTTTTAATCTGGTGAGAAAAAAAAAAAGATACCAGACGGGAATAATTAGGGTGTAGGTTGTCGGTCCAGGGAAGGTAGAAGTCGCACATTCACAAGCCCAGCTCTTTCCTTGTCATGGAGCCAGTGAGGTGAGCAGAAACCGGGCAAGTACAACCTTACCAAAAAAAGGGAGAGAACTGTGTGGTTCAGAAAGGAGAAGGCTTGGCCTGAAACAGATGGGCTTTGAGAGGAAGAGGTCAAGAGTTGCTATAAAATGGAATTGGGTTAAAAGGGGAAGGAAGACTGAAACATGACACTAATGACGATGGTAATCATAATAACACTAAAACTAGCATTAGAGGGAGTTTAGTTATGTGATAAGCACTTTATATTGATTATCTCACTTAATCGCATAGTAAGTTTCATACACCCACCATCAATGCCCAGGGGTGACTGAAAGAAACTTCCACGTTGTGGGGCTCAAAGGACTCAGTTGAAAACTGAACTACAAAGTAGACCAGAGCAAAAGGACTCAAAGTGAGAAAAGTCTGTGGGTCACACCCCTACTGCTTCCCAAGGACCCTCCTTTATGTGCTAAGGTCTGAGCAAAACTACAAGAAATAAAGTTACTCTGACCTCTCTTGCTGTACTGTTCACCCAGCCACTTTTAGGAAAGAAAGGGACTTTCAACCCCCAAGATAGGCTAACTTGAAAAATTCATCTCATGCAATGTCACTTTCATATCAGGGACACTAACCAAAGGATTCAGGCGTTAGCAGGGACTTTGGGGGAGGCTTTGAATCTTAAGATAAAAGCCACCTCCTTCCCCAGTTTCCACAAGGAGTCTATAAGATTTTCTTTCTCCAATATCGGGGAGCATATGAATGGCCCCAAGGAATAACTGTCAATACTTCTAAAGTGGTGTCATTGTTATTACTGGTGGTGGTACTGAAGAAAGGAAGTCACGCAAGTCTAGAACAGAGCTTTACAAACTGCGGGGCACAATGCATTAGTGGCACTGGACTAACTTAGTCGGCCGCCAAGTGCACTTTCAAACAAAGTAGAGATCAGAGTACATTGCAGGTACGAAACTCCTGTTTTAGGTAAGTTTAGGTTGTGGGTCCCATTCAAGGTAGAGAATGCCCCGAAGGGTCCTGGGGATGGGGAGAGGGGCGCCAGGTGCCGGGCAGTGAAAGTGGAAGGTTCCCAGGCCCGCAAGGCGAGCGGAAGGGCGAGGCGGAGCGTGCGGGGGCGCGCTGAGCCCTTGGCGGCCGCTGCACGCACTTAGGGATCCGGTTGCTAGGCAACCGCGCAGTATAAAATGTGGTTGATACGGGGGGTTACCTTCTGAGGACGCCGCCGAGGAGAGACGCATTGAGGCATTCGGGGGGCGACAGCCGTCTCTGAACTTCCCCCACAGTTACTTTGTATTTTGAAGTTGAACTGAGCAGAGACAAACGGCCGGGGACCGAGCAAAACACCTCACCGGTGTTGACAGACATGCCTCCCAGGAAGCCATCCTTATTCATCATCAGAGAAGTCACAGATTTGGGAGGAACCGGAACTAGAGAGGGAGAAAAAAAAATATGCCATAAAGGTGACCGGGTTTCGATCCTGGTGACCGGCCGATAGAATGTGTCTCTGAGTGCGCAGGGGCGAGGCCACAGGGCAGGAGCCAAGCGGAAAGCTGCAGGAGGAAGTGTTTGTTCCCGTGGTTCTGCGGTGCGTTCAGAGCACTGTGTACAAACAAATGCAAAGCCATCACTCCTCTGGAAACTTACCCCATGCGTGTGGACATGTGAGAGTCGCTTGCCACTGTCCCGCTCACTACACAAATCAAGAAAAACAAGCAACCCAGAGTTTGGATTGTGCTGTGAAACCAGGCAAATTCGATTCCATCACGTGCTGGCTGTGTGACCTTAAACATCTCACTAAACTTCTCTGAATCTTAGTGTCCTCATCTGTCTCCTGATAATCACATTTGGTGCTGAAGCCTGAAGGTGATCACCCCTATCAATGATATAAAATAGTAAGACCAATGGTCTTTAGGGGAACCCTTCCCTCCTCTCCTATTGGACACAAATCTATGGTCATCACTGGCAAGGATCAGAAGGGTGGGCACCATCTGTCACCCTGCCCAAGAACAGCCAAGTAATAATACCATTAAACAGGGGAGTTGGGCCCCAAAGAGCTGCTCATTTCTCTACAGTGGATCCCATTCTTTCCAACATCCTAACAACAGATTCATTTAGAAATGAACCCAAATGCTCCTCTCCAGTGAAAGCAATTCTGCGGTGACATGAATTTTGTTTACAAATTAATGTAAAGCACCGGCTGGTGATTGTTTGGAGCAGTTATGATTTACAACAGGTGCCCTGATCAATCAACCAATCACTCTAATTCATGTGAGCAGCGGTCTTGCCTTGCCCCAGTTGTTTCATTTCGGCAAGTAATTGATAACAAACCGCACTCAAGGTATGTTTTATGCGGAAGTTAATAAGAGCTGACAGCTGGTTGCCACTGCTACCCAGGCGCATTCAGTCTCTTCAGCCTGTATTTCTGTTTAATTGTGTTTCAGTGTCATCTGCACCTCAGGAAGAGGTGGGGCTTGATAGAACCAGAGGCTGGGAATGAGCTGGGAATGAGGAACAGTGAAAGGTCAGCCTCCCAGTTCCCTGAGAGTCTCCTTCACTTGGACTTCTACACTGCTGATGCCCATTTTTCTTCTGCAGGGTCTAGAAGCCACTGGGCAGGCAACATCCCCTCCTGGCATTGGGATCTGAAGCCCCTCAAGCACTATTTGGTGATCACCAGTCCAGAGGATTTATGCAATGTTTCTGGAATGAAAAAGGATGCTTCCATTTCCCCTCTTTAATAAAGACTCTGTCTCATTCTATTATTCTAGTAAGAGAAAGATATGCTTTTTCTACCATCTGGAGCCTAGAACCCCACACACCAAATAAGTTATATAACCTCCCTTGTCTAGAACAGACTAACCACCCTGAGGGTTCTTGAAACAGCTTATTCTCTCTACCACAGATGCTAGCACTCAGACCTCCATGATTATTTAGAGACTCCTAAAAGCCGGGTAGGTCCCAGATCTTTTATTTACTATGAATTGCATTTGGGCCTTTACAAACACCTGTAGAAAGGGCTTTCTGAGGAAAGTGGATGGGAAGACTGAAGCGTTCCCTTTTTCTACTTCTTAGTAGACATTTTGGGATTTCTGGATCTGTCTGCAGAGTCTGTCTCAGGGCAGATGAGTGATGTTAGGTACCAGAGTGAATCTTCTGCCCTGTCACGGTGGTGGTGGGGAGTTACAGAGGGGGCTTCCTTCTTTCTGATTCTCCTGATCATAGTCTCCTGATCATAGTCTCATCAGTGAAGTACTTCTCATTTGAGAGTGAACCAATATGCAAATTTGAAGCGTATTAATTAAATTTGAGTAAAATATGGATTTAAGTGACTTACTTAAAAAATGGGAACACCCTGTCATTTAATTATTTAATTATCTTGCACAATATCCACATCTATTTTAATGTCTTTTTTTTCACTGCAGTCCTGATTTCTATATTTCAGATTCATATTCAAGTGCTATAAGCAAATAATATATAATCATGGTAACCCTGGAAAAACTTTTCCCCAAAATATAGACGGCCCTTTGTAGTTTTAACATGGTATGAACTACAGAAATAAAATGTATAAAAAATCTCATCTTTGATATTCAGCAACATTTTAAAATGTAAATACTATTTAGAAAGAATATTTTAATGGCTTGCCCTACACCTTAGCACTAAGCTGAAAATAGTAAGTTCAGTTCCTGTTTCCCAGACTGGATAACTGAGTATCTCCCGAGCACTGGAATTCTACCTGCTTTTCACAGTCCCAGGCGCCAAATCTCTTGAAAACCTAGGTCTATAGAGACATCTTATAACCTGCCGTCTAATTTCACTATTGTTAATTGCCTGATTTACCAGAGGAGAGCAATTTCCTTTGGGGAATGTATATCGCTCCCTCCCAAGGACTGTACGTTTTTGCATATATATTATCACCTAAATATCACCCACCCAGTCAGCTCCCCTCAGCACTCTGCTGTCTAGGGGGAGGGGGAAGAGGAGGGTGGCGTTGTTTTTTCCCCTCAAAGACCAAGACAATTAGAGCAGAGGCGCTTCAGCTTATATTTCTATTTTCTAATTTAAGTATCGATCTTGTTTGCACCCTCTACTCTCCCGTCCTCAGGTTCTAAACCTCTCTCCCAGCCGGGCCTTTGTATTGGTCCCCTAAACTAGACTCTACATATTTCTTGTCCCTACGCTTTTCTAAGTCCATCCTACTGTTAGCATCTACCTTCCCCACCACTGTCACACATGCTTTCCTCAGCTGATTAACCCCATATTTTATCCTCTTCGTCTTTTCCCTTCTGCTTTCCTCCAGCTTATCAATAAACCCAGGGAGCAACAGGGCCCGGTTGATTTGTTAGTAATTATGAGTGCACTGCCCTGCTCACGGAACCCAGAGATGACTAAGATAGGTTTAAAGCGACAGCAGGAAATGGTGAGGAAATGGAGCATAGCAAAACTCAGCGTGAAGCTTTCAGTTCTTTACATGTTTACAATTTTCTGTGCATACATTAAAACCGAGAGGCTTTTTTTCCCTCTTCAGTTCTCAGTTGGATAGCATGGCCAACTTCTGGACGTAACACCTCCCAAATTTGCTCCCCTCTCTTTAAACTTGCATTAGATGGGAGGAAAAGACAAAAAGGTTTAAAAAACGATCAGTATTTCATTACAAGGACTGGAGTTTTATTTAAGAGAGAGGAAGGAAAACTGGAGAAAATCTTATTCATTAGTGGACGCTATAGAGCCCAGGTGTTAATAAGTTAGCTCTTAATCTTTACTCTTTAAACTTAAGTATGAAATCACAGCTTGGAGATCTTTGTGTTTGACTGGAGGCAGGTCCTCTGTGGGTCTGACCTGCTGGTGGGAGAGAAGGAAGAAATGAACCCATCTAATAGATTGAAGCATAAGTCCCTCTGTAATGTACCTGGACTTAAATGTGGAAACTACACCAGGAAGCCACAAGAGGTAGAGCATTGCTTGGAATGATTACTTCTCACCAGCAGATCACCGCTTTCCTCATACTTGCATTGTTTCTCATCTACCTGCAGGCTAAATGTTATTCCACATGTATATAAGAGCATGGGTATAAATGTGAGCACTGAAATCCTGGAAAGAAAAATAAAAGGATTCCCATAGAGAAAGCTGGAACATAAAAACAACTACAAACGTCCAGTGTTGGCATCCTTTAGGGGCAAAGCCTAAGAGGCTGAGTTAGGTCCCATCACTTACTCGGTGTGTGGGACCTTGAGAAAATCACTTGTCTTCTCTCTGTCTCAGTTCCCACACTGGGGGGTGGGGATGGGAGTTGGAGAAGCGTGTCTAACCTTTCCAGCTTTGAAATTCTATGAACTCTGATTACTCCCTGGGTGGCTGGAAACGTAGCTGAGAGTCTCTAGTTGAATAAATACCAATTGGGATCCAAGTCAGCTCTGGAAATGTGAACCTCTCCATTTGAGAGGAAACTCATACCCTTCTCAAAGGCTCCAACAGATTCTGGGAGCTTTTACCTCCTAGGTCAGAAGGAGGAAGCCCAACAGAACCCCTTGTAATTGAAATTGGCAATTTCCTTATCTCCCCCCACCCAGAGAAAATCCACACCAATCAAAGTGTTTATGTGGGGAAGGGGCCAGAACTAATGGGACAAAAGTGGGAGAGAACAGGAGGTTGGACTGAAACTAACCAAACAGGATATCCCTAAGACCAATGAAAATGCCCCACAGTCACAACATTTGGACCTTGGACTCCAGCCACTCTGGCCTTTCCAAGAAATCCCAGCATCTTTTCTGCTACCTAAGGTGTCAAGCCGATTGCATATTGGCCTCTAATTGCACCAAAAACTTTTTCTGAAAGCCTAGGTGAGCCTCCTTTAGGTTAGGCTGTAGGATGGTGGCAGTGATCATTTACGTGAGCTGGGCACCACCCTGCCCCCTCCCAGCCCAGATTCCTAATCTTAATGGAACTGAGAGTTAAGAATGATTTTTTAATGTCTCGTTGGATTTTCAGACTGTTAATGCACCGAATCCTTCTCATTATTACTTTATTGATTGCTCATGGACCAGCCCCCTTCAAATCATATTAACCACCCTCTGCCGGTTTAGATTAGGAGAGTTTAAAAAGCACCTTTCATTACTCCCCCCACTCCTGCCATGGAGTTGAGACTCGCTGGCTTAATGGGAGCTCTAATGGGGCAGCTAAGAGGAGAGGAGCCCCCGTCCCTGCCGACTGCATTAATAGCTCAAAGGGGGCCAATACAGAAAATTAGCCGTAAACGAGCTCTGGAGATCTTCAAATGAAAGAGCCATTTATCATGCTGGCTACCTTCACTCCACTCGTTTGCTCTCTCTACTGGGAACAACTCATTTCCTCTTAACTAAATTACTTCAGAAATGTCAGCTAAGCCCAGATAGCAAACATAACAAGAGAGCTCACCTACAATCTATGGGGTGATATCAACACGGGTGAAAATTGGACTGGTTAAATTTTAGGAGGGAGACCTTCCATAATTAGCGAGAGAGAGACACACAGAGACATATATCCTTTATGTCTAAGTCTTCCGCCTTCAATACATCACACAGAAGCAGAGACACCTAAACCTGGGCCAGTTGCTGCCTTTTTTATTAATAAGGCAGAATTTTTTAAATCTCTCTAAAAGCCCATTAGAAAACAAATAAAGCAACCTAGTCCCTTGCCAGTTGTTGAAATTTAGAATATTTAGTTCAGGAAATGTTCTCACCTCCTCTTTTATGAAATTAATCTCTGGGAGTCATCCCTCATAAAGGTGGCGGAGGGGCAAAGACGGGAGACCAGAGGGCAGGGAAGGAGCTAATGAACCCATAACCTTATTTTAAGTGATTCACAGTGATCTAGAAAAGTAAATCAACCACTTATTCCTCTTTTGCCCATGGCTCTCTAAAGATAAAAATATATTAGTATATTTTCATCAGGTAATAAAGCAAATACCTGAAATATTAAATAATAGAATTGACCTCACACTTTATATTCATACCACACTCCCTAAATCAATAAAATGACTGGGGTGCCACTTAGATACTTTAAGCTGCAAATTTTTAAAAAAGATTCTGGAGGCCATAAAAAGTACTCTGAGTTTCCAGAACAGAACCAGTGACAGTCAGCATTCTCCTCTTCTTATTCCTGGAGATACCCATATACATACGTATTCACATTTCACTGACAAACATCTACAAGCCCTGAAACCAAAGCATCCCACATCTAAGAATATTTTCGCTCCATTTTGTTAGGTAAGCTAAGTTCCAAATATTTTTATTGGCCTGGCTGTTAAGAACATTTCTGATTGGTCGTCAGTTGGGTATGCCCTACAGCCAGCCCCAACTCTGTTTCCAGGATACAGAACCCTGAGCTAAGGGGTTCTAGCTTTCCATGAAAAGGGACGGAAGCTAAAACAGAAAAGAAACCAAGAAAGCCACTGAAGAAGCGCCTCTCCTACCCACACCCACCTCCCATCAACCAGCAATTAACCAGAAGAGAAGACCCAGGAGGAAATGGTGAAAGTGAGCTGTCAGCGCAGTTGCAAATCAAAGCACGAGCCTGAGTGTCCCAGCAAACCCAAACCCTGGCATTAAAAACCGAAACAATACTATCTAAAGACGAGCAGGAGAGATGTTTGGAGCAACACTTAAAATAGTTTTGCCCCAAACCCTAGTAGTCTTCTTGGGGATATTACGTTCTAAAGCCAAATGGCATCATTTCAGGGACAGCCTCCGCCTCCGACCTCCCACCTCTCAAAGTGACTTTTTCTGCTTTTATGAGAGAAGAAAATTGAGAACACCTCACCCTGTTTGGAATCCTTCCTTCACAACTCTCCTATTCTACCGGCTTGATTCTGCATGACTTTCTGAAGCATCTTTTTCTCTTTTAATTGTTTTTGTGAATGTCCTCTGACTCAAATGAATCAGAAGTGACTGCAGCTAGGGATTGTTGACACCAAACAGAAGGACAGGCCTTCTCCAGCATCGATAAGAAAGGGTTACAGTAGTTAAAATTGTAGCTCCAAATACCAGTTCTTGTGATAATTAAAGATTGCACTGTTTACACATTCAAACTCCTAAATTTGTGGCATGTGAGTGACATTGGGGCCTTTCAGCAGGCAGCCATCCTAATCGCCAGGCATTCTCTCAGTGACAGAGAAGAGGGGGGAAAAATTAAGCAGCTGCAATATGCCTGAAATGAGTTATTGTAATTACATTTAATTAGTTTAATTAGTTAATTATTTTGCTTACAGCTGTACAAGAGACTGCAAACATTTGTTAATATCACATGCCCTTTAACAGTATGGGGTGATTCCACAGTCACACTAAATCATGAATGCATATGTAGGAAGATTGAGAAATGTGCAGAGCCCGGCTCAGCTTCTCAGGAAGAGCATATTTAGCAACACATTTGGCACAATTTAAAAAAATCTGAAGAAACAACTCATAAAACACAGAGAACTGGGAACAAAATTACCACCCCAAAAATCAAATACAAAGGCCAAGAGAGAAGGAGCTACCCCTAATGGCATAGGGTTTAGCTCAACAAACTCCAGTTATCAATGAAATAATTATAGCATATTTTTGAAAGCAGTGTCTCCCAGCCAGTTCCATACGTGATGGTAGTTCAATTATTTACAATGCATCTAGAATTGCTAGCGAAGGTACTGTGAGAAAAATGGCAATAGTTTCTGTTCCTCTGTCTCTCTCATCCGGGTTTCTCCCTGCGGTCCCCCACCCCCATTCCTTCTTCCCAACAGGCATTTTCATCCAGATAGTCGCTGTGCTATGATTGTGAACAAACATTTGTGTCTTATAAAATAATGAAATCCTTCAACGTGAAAACTCATCATAAAGACATGAACACAGAGGAAACTTTTCTTACTTTGCGGGGGGAAGAATCCATACCTTTTTTTATGACAGACTGGTCCAATAGATTCATGCCGCTGTTATTGGCATCTTCAACTGACTGTGAATATAAAAACATCACTATTCAAATCGACTGGATATTAAAGAATCACACTCATAAATCATGTCAGTCCAAACTGGAGTTGCTGTTATTTCCATTTATATTAATTCACAAAGGGAGGTTTTATTATTATCATTATTACCTCCAAATGGACACAGAAATGAAATACACCCAAATTATAAATTCTTCCAATGGAAGAATAGGAAAAAGGAAACTGTGAGAGACATCTGGGATGCAGGATTGGTTTAGTTATTATGTTAAACATAGATATTACATAGACACATAAACTTTTATATTATTTGCTCTTATGAGTTGTGAAAATCTGACAGCACTGAAAGATTTTCACCAATATTAGTCAGAGCAGTTTCTGTTTTCTATGCTATCCCAGTGCATCTTAACCCCAGAGTCATTTTACAAATACGTAATAGTTTACATTATAGGATTTTAATTAAAGTCTGAGCAATTTGGAATGGAATGCGAACAGCAACACATAGGAACACGTCTGCAGGCTGTCAGGACCGCACACCCACTGCAGTTCACACACATCCCTGTGCTGGGTGAGCTTCCTGCTGCAGGACAATCGCTTGGGGGGACCTGCAAAATCTGCTCCCCTCCCAACCCTGCCACCTCTGCTACCCAGCAGGAAGCACACCTGTTAGAAAGGCAGTAACTACAGACACACCAACACACACATACACACACACACACACACACACACACACACACGGAGGATATCCCAGTCAGCACCTGGGTAATGACAAAGAACATTCACCTTCCTTGCCATTTTCATCCCCGAGAAGGAAAGTTTCGACCCTAGTCATTGGCTGCCTTTCAGAGGGGGAAATAGCTGTTAGAATGATATTCTTACTGTCAGGATGCACCAGAAAAGGGTTCTAGCCGGGCATCCCAGGGCATCCAAAGGCAGTGGATTCCCTCCCCCTACTCCCAAGAGAAAATCAATGCTAGGCCTTTCTGCCATGTACAGCTGCTTTCCTTGATCCTTAGACACCTACGTTTGGACTAATCTGTCACCCACTCTACAGAGGAGTAAAAAGCAAAGGGCTTGTAAGGGGGGTTGTGTTTAGACAGCACTTCCCACCCACTCAAGCTGCATCCCCAGACAGGGCGTGTGTTCATCACAAGGAAGAGACTGTGTACCCCAAACAAGCAGCACATTAGAAACGAGATGATCTAATCATGGAGGGGTCATGTTCATTTGTTTCTTTTCGTTTTTCATAGCCACTCTTCTGTTCTCAGAAAGATGGGGGAAATTGTTAGTCTCCGTAAGGACCATTTTCCATGTCACAACATGCCATCTCCAACTTAAGAAATAGTACAAAGCAAAAAAAAAAAGGAAAAATGCTTCATGTAACTTGTTCGGAACTCCCAGCAGACCCCACCATGCACACGGGCGCGCACACACAAGATTCACGCCTTTTGTGCTCACGTGTCTACAGTGGCGACGTGTCCACGCAGAACAGAAATACTCGCCTGTGTCTGTGGGTGGGCAGACCCGCGATCTCACAGGCCCGGGACCGTGAGCGCCCACACCTCACCCTCACGTCAGTACGTAAATATGTATATACGCCTCATCAGCGACGTGGGGTAGTTGTGGTAGTTAATGAGAAGGCTCTTGTCTGATTTTCTATCTAATTACGGACGCCTGCTGGGTTTTTGTACAGGATATTCACGCAGCATGCTGGCGCTTAATCGTCACAGGGAGGATCGTAAAGATTTAATTAGGACTGCATGCGGAAGCTCAAAAACACGACTCAGACTCGTAATTACTAGACTTCTTTAGTTAAAAGTGATACCAGGGGTTGCTTTAAGACACTAGGGTGTGTTTGAGTGTGTGTGTGTGTGTGTAAGGGCTTTGACTTAACCTCCTTATATGTTTACACTCTTAGGTAGTAAAGGTGATGAGAGGTTAGAGAGCAAAGATCGGAGGAAGGAAAGAGGTGTTCACAGCAACTAAACAAGCTCCAAACTAGGTGTCACCTCACGCTCTCTTTCTTTCTGATGCTGTTTTTCTGACTTTTAAACACTGCCCCCCCTCCCCACGTGCGCGCTCACACACACACACACACACACACACACACACACACACACATACACAATGGGTAGAATGTAGCATACCCAGAACCCAAACAGCGATTTGCTGGCTTAATAGCCCCTGTGAGTATATTGAAATAGAAATTGACAGGGTTTTATCGTTTCATTTAAAAAATTATTAGAAGCATTTGGTTAATTAGCTCTCCTCATTTGCTTCTCTCACGGTCGGGGCGGTGGCCCCGCGTGTGTGTCTGGGTCACACAACATCTCCCCCCAGCCCTAGGCCAGGTGAGCACCGCTGGGTGTGAGGGCCCCGGGCCTGGCAGCGCCCTGGGATCTGCCTGATCCGCGGCTGGATTGGGTAGGGGGATCCAGCACACACAACAGGCCCTTGAGATGGAACGAGTGACTGGGGTCCAGGCTGAGGCACCCCTGGTCCCTTTTACAGACAGGTGGGGCGCAGCCCACGCATCCCGTAGCTGCAGGAAACGCGAAACGCTGAAACCGCCATCAGCTCCTGCAACTTTAGCCGCCGTCCCCCACCGCGTTCCAGATCCCTAAGTCCGAAGTGGATCCTCCGGGACTGGACGGAGGAGGCAGAGCCTCTGGATTCGAGGGTCTGGTCCTAGGTCCATCTCTTCCCCTGTCTTTCTTTGTCACCTGCCCCGTGTCACGTCAACCACACCCCGGCCTCAGGACGCCTGTCATCACGGCGGAGACAGAGATTGCCCCAGCCCCTGTCGTTCCCCTCCTGGGACAGGCGCGGAGTGTATCCCCCGCGACCCCTTGCAGTGAGGGTCGACCCGAGAAAGTCTCGCGGGCCTCCCCACCTCGTCAGACGACCTGCAGGGATGCATGTAGGGAGGAACGGGGAGAGGTGGGGTGGGCGGGGAGCAGCGAGGGCCCTGGGCCTGCGCCATCTCTGCTCTGGGCTCTGTCCACCTCCCGGGTCTAAGCTCCGGCCACAACTCGGACAAAGGTGCTCTCCCAAATGCACACTGACCTGGCCCTGTTTTTCTCTGGCCCCTTGCATTTGACCAAACACTGCAAACCTCTCACAATTCTCTCTTTCAAAAAACAAAAAACTAAAACCAAAGAAATCTGTTCCCTCTTTGGGCGCAATCCTTGGGTTCCGTCGCCTAAACCACTAGGCCTGCCGAGTGTGGTGACACGGCCAGTGCAGCATTGCCAACAGCAATGCTGATGAGTTGATCCACTTTCATTATCTAGCACTTTGAACCGTACCCAGAAAGGTTAATTTAAAACGTTTCCCCCCAGACATATATTACCCCAATGCATTAAAAAAAAAAAAAAACACGATTAAATATTTCCTTTCTCATATGATATTCTGAAATGAGCATTATCTCCAGACAGGGACAGTTAAGCTCGGCTAAATCAACAAAACTACCATTCTTATGACTATGGGTAAATCCAGCCACAACTCAGGTGATTCTGTCATTTTTGGAAATATTAAATAACTGAATTCCCTTTAAAGCAGTAAACCATCATAGACTACACACAGACAGCATTTAATTCTGTCCCCACATTTTAACTGTTCAAAATACATTTTCTTCAGCAAGGTTAAGAGGAAGGACTCATGCACCCTTTCCCTTTCCCATATTGTGTTCCTTTTCTTCAGAGGTATGTCCATAATGATGCATAATATATACAACCATGCCAATGAGACCAAAGGATCCATTGAATACCTTTCAACCATATTTATCTTTTCTGGAGACTATTTAAATTAGGGAGGAAAAGGAGACCTGCTCAGAATCACCCAGAGAGTTTTTATAAATCATTTCTTTGATGTTTCTTTGTTTAGTTTAACCAAGTATTCTCCACCAAATCAGGCTCCATTGTGTAGATTGCAGATGGGATAGTGAGTGGGTGGGGGAGTGTTTGGAGCCTTTTAAGAAACAAAGATATGATGCCTCTTCAGCTGGGGTGGTGACACTGGGGAGAGGGTATTAGTGGAAAGGAGGACTGGAGAGGGTTGTGGAGAACATTGCTCCACAGTCGTTTAATGGTCCAAAGGGGGAAAAGAATCTCCAAAATCATATGTGTCCTCATGAATTCCCAAACAGAACTATGACTTTCTGGGTCTCTCCTCACAAACCTTCCATTTCTCAGATAATGACCCTGGAACTCAGTTATCTTGGAAAAGGGTTCAACAGCTTATGGGACATTCAAAGTAAGACCTGGCTTGGACAAAATAGCATATGTTTTTCTTCTACTGTGCATTGTCATGCTTAACAAAGTCTTTGCAAATCCAGCAAGAACCTCTATAGAGGTCCCTGCACCTCCATGCTGTAGCTTCAGGCAGTCAGGACTCCACCTGCCATGTCAGGGCGCCCAGGCCCACTACTGGGCATGCAGAGCGGGTGGGTTGGGGAGGGCACCCAGCTTGCTCGCACGAAGCGCAAGAGAACAGGAAGGAGTCTCATAGCTAAGGCAAGACAGAAACATCTAGTCTTGATTCTGATGATCCTAAACTAGCAAAACACACATATATTTTTCTCCTTCGTTCTTTCATTTCTAGTGTTTCTGGCTTTCATCATCAGACCTCCAGAAATCGCCATTAGAGAGCCATACACGTATACATACAGTTACGTACGTGGTGTCCAGCTGGTGCTGTTCTAAAGATGCAAACCACCTCCCCCAAAGGAGACACAGCTGTCCCTCCCCGCCTGTCCCCCCTCCCGGGGCATTTGTTATTTGTTTACTGTGTGTTTGTTTGTGTGCCGTTACCTGGACATCTTCCATCCCGGGGTGGCCGAGACCGTGCAGCGAGAGGCTGTCACCCATGCCCGCGTCCAGGCCGTGGTGTGCTGAGTGCAGGAGCACGTCCGGCCGGCGGACTGAGTGGTAGTCCCTCCGGGGGTCGAGGCCCGAGAGCTGGGGCAGGGCAGCCCGAGGCTGGGGCAGGAGAGAGCCGGCTTCTGAACCCACTTCTTGCCGCTGTCGTTGCCCCCAGGGGTGCTGCTGGGGCTGGTGCAGGGGGTTCAGGGAGTAGGGGTCGTTGACGTGGGAGTAGGGGTCCTGGCTCTGGTGGTAGGGGAGCGGCTGGTAGGGGGGCGGGAAGTAGGGTGGCTGGAAATCTGACGACGGCGTGTGGGACAGCGGCGGGGCGCTGGAGTAAGGTCCTTGGGACACCGAGCCCAGCTGGGAGAGCCGTGAGCTGTGACTCGGGACGCCATCGTGCCGGTCCTGGGAGCGGAGAGGAGAAAGAGAAAGAGAGAGAAGGGGAGGAAAAAATACAATCGACAAATGGAGAAGCCCGCCTACGGCATCTTCTTCCCGGGATAGGGGACGCAAGAGTCTGAAACTTAGACTCCCAAGCTGACTCAGAGGGTGCATGATTTCAGCAATTCCAAATGCGAGGCTTTGGGGGAAAAGGGGGAGAATCACCCACTTAACCAACATCTAAGCCCTCTGTTGGGGTGCAAAGCCGGCAAAAGGGGTGAGGGTAAAGTAACAGTGTGTATGGGGGGAGATTCTCAATTCCCTAATGAAAAATACAGGAGTCTGACGTAGGGCATTTGCTCTTCTGGGTGTTTTAAACTATTTTTTCCTAACTCTTCCAGAGGCCCAGGGCGACAAATAAAACTTCATATTATTGGCTTTGCTGTTACTCTTCCTAACCCAGCCGGCTGACCAGGAGCTCCCCACACGACTTGGTCATTCCAGGAGACCCAGGAATCTGCCTGATCTGAGTTTCCAGTCCCCCCTCCCTCCCCAAGAGGAATTAAATAATTTATGTAGTGTTGGATTGAAATGGATCTCATTCAAAATCATATCCTGAGTCCCTGTTAAAGTCGAACTGTGGTTCATAGGAGTTTTTCTAAGGTTGCTTTTCTAAATATATCTATTGCTGTCCTACTCCAGGGAGTGAAGATGAAGGACCTGGGGTTGGGAGGGGGGAAAAAAAACGAACAAATAAAGGCCCAGACAACTTAGCGCTGGTCCTAAGTGGAGTGCTAAACTCAGTGAAAAGGGAGGGGGGAGGTGTGTGTGTGTGTGTTTGTGAGTTTCTCCCTCTCCTCTGTGGAAATGCCATGGTAAAGTCCCCATGGTTCTTTTTGGAGAAATAGTCACCTAAATTTCCAAACTGCAATGGCAAATAAAAAGTTTTTCTGTTCAGCCTCCCCCCTCTCCCCAGTTGACTCATGGAGCTCAGACGAACACAAAATGCAGAGAAGCAGCTGCAGCCTCGTCCAATTATGGTGCTAAATTACCAAGCCAAAGGCGCTCGAAGGAAGACAGAGACGAGAGAGTGAGACGCACACACAAGAGACAGAGACAGAGAGACAGTAAGAGGAGGGAGCATGCAATTCTGGTACAACGTGAATCCAGACTCACCATGGACGAATAGGTGTGCACTAACATCTGGAAAAAAAAGCCTGGTTACTGCTCAAAATCAAACAATGATTTTAAAAAAAAATCAAGGAGTCCAGCAGAGAAACGAGCTGGACACAGGAGCCGAGCTTGAGGTGTTTCCAGGACAAGCCATCAAAAAAAAAAAAAAATTTACCCCCCCACCAAAGAAGATTGGTGTCGCCTGTCACACACACACAGAGCTGTTCATCGGCCTCTTGCTGTTTTTTTGGCTTTTTTCTTCTGCGGGTCTTCGGGGCTCCAGAAGCAGTCCTCTTCCGCCCGAAGCTGGGCTCAGACTGCTTGGCCGCCCCTTCCTCCCTCCGCTTGCCTACACCTCCTCATAATAATTGATATTCATGACTATTAATATTACACGAGTACTTTAAAGGGAGAATGGAGGACAAATGGAGCGTGAAGCAGCAGCGGGCGCAGAGCTCCCTACTATTGTAAATGACGTTCATTCAGTGGAGAATTACTAGATGTAATCAGACGAGGGGGCTGGCGAAGGCAGACCGGGGAAAAAGTTTAGCAGGAAAGAGGCAGAACTTCAATTAACTGAGCCGGGGACGCGTGTAAAGCAGCCCCTGCTCCCCTGGACCAGGCGGTGAGGGAGAGAGCATCGCTGGGGGCTTGTGCAGAACGTAGGTGTCCTGGTTCCTGGAGAGGGACTTTCCTACTGGGAAGAATGGGTCGCCCTAGGTGCTTCCTGTGCAGATTAAAAAACAAAATAAAAAGGCGTTGCCTCCTCCTTTGGAGGGGAGAGCAAAGTAAACCGGTGGGCCCGGTTGTTTACAGTGACGTTTGCAGACTTTCACGCATACTGGAGATTATGCTTATTTATTAAAGGATAGAGGCGAGATGGGGGCTTTCCATCCCTCGTGCAGCCTTTCCCTCTTTAGTGCTCCTGCAGTCTGTGATTTTTTTTTTTTTACTTCAATTTAAAATATATGCAATCAATCTTCAAGTACACTAAACTTATCCTTTCCAGGCAAAGCCAGGGGCAACAGAAAACCTTTTTGGATGTTTCAGGAACCCGTTCAACTGGCCTAACTGCCATTTCTGTTAAAGTTCAACCTTTCTCCCAACTTAAATAGGCTCCTTCCACCGGGCTGCGGGTTCTCCTATATTTTTTGAGCAGAAAAATTAGGCAGATAGGAATACCTGCAGTTTTCTCTCTCTCTCTCTCTCTCTCTCTCTCTCTGTCTCT